ACCTGAGCAGCCGTGTTCACAGGTTCGGGTTAAAGGAAAGTACAGGTAGGGAGTTTAAGGGAAACTACAGGTGGGGAGTTTAGGGTTTAGGAGTTTAGGGTTTAGGGTTTAGGGTTTACGGGTTTAGGGCTTAAGGAAACTACAGGTGGGGAGTTTAGGGTATATAGGGCTTCTAATAAGGCTTCCATAAGGTATATAGACTCTATAAGGCTCCTATAACGGTAAGTACCCACCTGAAAATGTCCTAGATTCGGGGTTAAAAAACAGGATAGCCCCATAAGGACTTTAAGATGACAAGGGGAGATATGACGAACCCGACATGATTGCTATAGCGCCCCATGTCTATAACACTCTTACAGAAGCGCTGATGTAAACCCTCTGAAGCTCTTACGAAACCTAAAGGGAACCCTAAGCCTACAGAACGAAAGGATGTTGTACAGCATAAACGCTATATCTGCGTGTACAAGGGCTTTACACGGCCTGACAAGGGCTTTAGGCTTGATGAGGATTGTATGCAGGTTACGGGCTTGAGGGTTCACTGCGCACGGGGCTTCCTAAGATGCAGCTTGTACACGCTGTTCTGCATTTTGGGGGCTGCCCAAAATGAATGCTTTTACACCCGGCAGCTATAGATGCGACTGTACGCACGACGAATGATCCTTACCAGCTTTGCCCGTTCAGATGACGCCATGCAGTGCGCAGTTTCGTAACAGAACAGAACGAGTTGAGGGGCTGTTGGGTCTAGCACTTACAAGTCCAGTGTGGGGTGAACCTGAAACTTATCTATCTATCTATCTATCTATATCTATCTATCTATAGGTATATACAGACGCAAAAAACAAGGCCTTCATTCGGTAGGTTATTTGGTGTCAAAACAGGGCTTAAAAACTGAAAAACAGCTTCATCAAAGCGGCTCCACGCACGCGTTGAGGGACAAGGCTCCCTCCTGGCTGCTCCAAGTACCTGGTACCGAGAACGGCTACACAATCCAGCAATAGTGGTAACAGAAATAACCTTAGGGGCTGAGTGCCCTAGCCCAAAAAAGGTTAACCTTTTCAGTTACAGTAGGATTATATAAACCCCAAAAGGTTAAAGGTTATCTACTCAGCTACTAAGTAATGATTAATCACCGTCATAGTAATAACACCACATTGTAATGATAACAAGTTGCTGTATAATCCATGGATCTGGGTAATGGGAATCAGGATGCGAAATGGATTTGTGGTCTGGGGGAATTTAGACCTCTGATTAATCAATTCCCCTCCATCGGGATCCTAGTAGAAGGAAGATAGGGGGTTTGTTGTAGGGTCTCTACAGTATATATTGGGCGTCGACCTTCACGTATCTTGGATGGGAGTCACGAGGAAAACATCCTACTCCGATATTGCTCCTCCAAGTGTTGACTATCTTGAACCACGTGTTCCAAGTTAATAAGTACTCGTCTGGATCATTCCTGTCTCCTGATAACAGCTTCTCAGCAAGTCCCGAATTCGCAGCATTCAAAGCTCGCCCGAATTTATCAGCACGCGCAAACTCCAACTGTAACCCAGCCCACTGGGAACCGGACCTGCCGGGCAGGACATGCAGCTTTCCTCGCCGCCGACTATAGGACGGAAACGGGTGGTAAGCAAGAGCGAGAGACAGAGGCAAAAGCTGCGAGATGGGGAGAGAGAGAGAGAGAGAGAGAGAGAGAGACTGACAAAAAGGCAAAAATGACCAGGTGAGAGCTAGACGGCTTACTTGTCTTCTGGGACTTCGATGGTGCAACATTCACAGCAGGTCCACACGTTTTGATGTTGTGTGTTACCCCTTTGAGGCATGGGGGCCGTAGAGGTCTAGATTTGTGATTGGATTCTGCGGTTCCGGGTTTAGGATGTGGGGTCTGGGTGTAGGGTTTAGGGCCTGAGGTTCTAGGCTTCGGGTCCTTGGGGTTTTGTTCTTCCCAGGGTTTACGGGTTCAGGGTTTAGCGGCTAGCTGTCGGGTTGGGGGCTGTAGGTTTGGGATTCAGCGATGGAGCTTTGGAGAATTTGGAGCCTTAGAGCTAATGTAGGAGCCTTGCTGATTGGAATAGGGCTTTGTCGGTATAATCAAGAATACTTATATAGGCATTATCACTTAGTTGCTGAGTTCATAAGCCCCAAAAAGTGTACACTTTCAGTTCTATAAGGGATCATATAATCCCAAAAAGTGTAAAGTGTACTCACTTAGCTACTAAGATCAGGGCATGGCTTCTCTAGTTCTGTAGGCCTCCATATTCTGGTGGTGTGGACATGGATACTCTGGCGCTGGTGTGCAACGAAGCTGTACGACCTTGCAGCTGAAATACTGGGGATTCTTGAAAAAGGACCTGAAAGGTGGCCCTAAACCCTAAACCCGAAACCCTAAACCGGCCCTAAACCCAGGGCTTCGGCATTGTGACTGCGGCTATTGCGTTTAGAGCAGTGAAAGTCCAAAGCTCGGAAACTGCAAGCAACCCCGAAAGCAAGGACCCCAAAGGGTCCAAGTTATAGTATAGTATAAACTTTTTGGGGCCCAAATACCTACAGAATAGCTACCATATTAGTACTTGGACCCTTTGAGAACATGGAGCCCTCTGCTCATGGAACCGCTGCCCTGCAACCCTTAAGCCTTACAAGACCTCTACGCAAGCCGTTTTGAACACTTACAGTATACACATTGTGAATCCTCGCCGTTATGTAATAACAGCAGTAACAATGCTGCTACTACTAACTACCACTACCGCTACAACTGTCACCATCACGAACAAACATGCGACGGCAAACATCACAATAACGAATAACCCTGGCAAAATTAACAATAACAGTACAAACTGCAATAGTCACCATAATGACAACAATCACAATCAGAGCCATAATAACAACAAATCAAATCGTGAGCCCCACCGTGTCTAAATTCCCCCCCCCCCCCCCCC